ATAATAATAATAAAGAATTCCCGCCATTTTTTTTTATATTACGAACGTAATGATTTATTAACAAGGTTAAATTTTTTTTTTTATTTATTTTTTTAAATTTTGTTTTTATAATTATTTTTTTTTTACAATCAAAAAAAAAAAAAGCAAAAGCGTAACGAGAACGTTCGATTAATCGATAAATATCGATCGATAGTATCGATTTTCAATGTTTTTATTTATATTTATGTTGACGTGATTTATTATCCCTCATTTTTTTCATTCCGAGTGACGTAATTAATTTTTTATGAATGAAAAAAAAAAAAATTTGTAAATTGTCGATTCGGTTGAAAGGGTGGAAGCGTAACTGGGAGGGGGGGAGTGAATCGGGGAGGATGATAAAAGGGGGAGGAAGGGGATCGACGTGCGAAAACAAAAAAAAAAAATGAAAATATTAAATACGTAAAAAGTGTAGGAAAATTTATTACGTGAACGTTTCGAAATAAACGATGGAAAACAAGAGAATGGAGAGGGGGAAATTTTTTTTTCGGAGGAGTGGGTAGGGGGTAAAGGGGGAGGAATTCGATGACCATGATTTTCCACACCATTTATTTTTTATTATTATTTTTTTTTTTTTAAAGGAAATTTATTTGAATTCGAATTTTATCGTTTCTTTTTTTCTTTTTTTTTCGTGCGATCCGGATTTATAAATCATTTTTTTTTATAAAAAGATTCCAAAAGAGGAGAAAGTCTTTTTTTTTTTTTTTTCATAATCTTTACATAACGTAAAAGGTCATCAAACTGGAAAATTTACCGGTTTTAATTTACTCTTTGGAAAAAAAAAAAAAAAAAAAAAAAAAAACTTTATTGATTTTGTATCGTTTCCGATTTCTTTCTTCCTCCTTTTTCCTCCTTCTTTATCCCGTTATCCTTAATTTTTTTTTAACAAACTTGGGATTTTAAATGAGAACGTTTTAATTCTGATAACGTGTCAATAACGTAATTATTATTATTATAATGTATTCAAACCACCACCACCACCACCATCATCATCATCATCATCGTCTAATTTATTTTCCATTCTTGCAAAACGTTAACAATGACGTCATAATGAGAAAAAAAAAAATTTTCGTCACCTTATGAAAACCTTCCGTTATTAATCAATTCGAATTTTTATTAAAAGAATAAATAAATAAAAACACATTAATTATTATTATCATTATTAATATTATTACGTACGAGTTCAATTAAAATATAAATTTATGGATTTAGGTTAAATTTGTTTTCTTATATATATTAATAACGTTGTTATTATCATTATTATTTATTTATATATTAAAATTTGATTATTATGCAAGATAAATAAAAAAAATTTTTTTTTTTTTTAATTAATTAATTAAATAACAGGAAAAAAATAATTTGAAGGTTGGTCGCGAACGTGCCTTAAAAAAAAAAAACATGCCTAAAACCACGTGTGTTTGTTGTTAACACTCGTGATATGAATAAATATGAAAATAAAAAAAAAAACAACGTAACGCAACGCGTTTCATCAAATAATTTTAATTAATATTAATAATAATAATGATGATGATGTTTTTTATCGTGTCTTTAAAGAAAAAATCGTGTCTTAAAAACCGGAAATGTAAAAAAAAAAAAAAAGCGAATTTTAAGTTTTGAATAACATAATAAAATTTATTTCGATATTTGTTAAAAAATTTAAAATATTGTAATAAAAAAAAAATCTACGTAAATAATTAATCAATCGTCGTGGCATTAGACAATTTATAATTTTCGTCAAAAAGATGATATATTCGCGTTTACAGTTGGATATTAATTAATTAAAAATTATTTTAGTTTCAAAATGGTCGACGCCGTCATCGTCGCCGTCATCGCCATTGCCGTCGTCGTCGTCACGTCTTATTAAATAAATTAAAATTCGATTTTAAATTGTTAAAACCCGTCAAAATGTTTATTAATAATGATAATAAAAGGCAGCTGTGAATCCGCCATATTTTTTTTTTCTTAATAACAAATAATAAAAATTTATTTTTTTAATTATATAATTTTATTCTTCTGCTACTTCATTTTGTCGATTTGAAAAAAAATTTTTTTTTACGGTTTCCGAAAATTTATTATCATTATCATTATTATCATTATTATTATTATTATTATTATTATTATTATTATTATTATTACTCTCTCATTCGTCGGCAGGTAATTTTTTTCTCACAAATTTAATTTCAATTAAAATTAAATTACTTTTCGCACACGTGAATCCACGAAAAATAATGGAATTGTAATTTTTTTTTGTTAACAACTCTGTTTCGAATTTTTAAACAATAATAATAATTATTATTATTTTAATATGTAATTATTATTATTATCATCATTATTATTATTCGTGGAGTTATTCGGTTGTAAAGGAAAAAAAAGGAAAAAAATTGAGTCGTGAAATTTTTACTTACTTTCGATTTTTTTTAATTGAGTTTTTTATTGTTCGATAAATTATTATTATTATTATTATTATAATCGACGTAATTACTACAATTTTTGTTTCACGTGTTTGTATGTGTCGTTAACATTATTATTATTATTATTATTACTAGTAATACGTAATAATTTTCCTTTTTTGTTATGCAGCGTTCGCGAACGTTTTTTTTTTCACAATTTGAATAATATAAATTATTACACGATTTAAAAAAAAACGAAAATAAAAGTTTGAATGAAATCGAAAGGGGAGGGACGGAGAGGGGGAAAGTGAGAAAGAGGGAAAAGAGCGGGATGGTGGAAGGAAGGGGTGGAGGATAATGAAAAAAAAAATTAATTAATACCTTATTTATTTTTTTTTTTGGGGAGGTTCGTAAATATAATTTTTGACAGTTTTGTAATCGATTGTAATTTATTATTATCATCATCATCATCGTCATCATCATCATCATCATCATCATCATCATCATCATTATTATTAATAGAAACGAGGCGTCATATATACATATATTTTTTTCATCACAAAATGAAGTCAATAAATTATAAATTTAACGAAAAAAAAAATTTATTTATTTATTTTGATTTTTTTTTTTTTAGCAGAAGAAAAAATAAATAAATTTAAATGACGTAAAAATAAATAAATAAATAATAATAATTTTTTTACATAATGACGTCATTTATTTAAATATAAACAAAAAAAAACTAAATAAGTTTTTCTTTTTTTCCAAGGCGATAGTCTAATAAAAATATCGATTTTCAATAACATTATATAATATAAAAAAAAAAAAAAAACATTTCGTTTTTTTTTTTTTTTTTTTTTTTTGGAAACAAATGTATCGAAAAAAATATTATTATTATTATTCTATGAATAAGAAAAAAGAAAAAAAAATACATGTATATACATAAAGAGAAAAATGGCGACGAAAAGGTTTCATTCGTATCAGTAAAAAATAATGTCAAAATCTTATTGGTTTTTTTTTTCTGCTTTTTTTTTTTGGAACGCAACAAAACTTTAACGGATAATAATATTCTTATTTTATAAAAAAAAAATTCTACCTTATTTTATCATTTTTACTCCGAAAAAAAAAACCATCGAGTTATTCATCATAGTGTTATTTACTCTATGACTATTTAAATATATAGAATTCAAAATGGCGTCGACGAATATCAATTTAATTACTGATGTTTCCACTTTATTGAATTTTTCCAACACGATACTAGCTAGATTGTAACTATTAAATGATGATGATGATGATGATGATAGTAATGATGATAATGATGATAAATAAAAAATCCATTATTTCGTTTTAGAAAGAAAAAACTAACGAATCTATTTCATAGTGAAAATTAAATTTTATATTATTTTTGTTAGATTTCTTTTCTATTTTGTTTCATCCCCTTTTTTTTAAATCTTAAAATTTTATTATTGACTTTTTATCATTATTATTAAACGCCATTGAAAAAAAAAACCTTCGGGGAATAAATAAAAAAATAAATAAGTAAAGAAAAAAAAAATTGTTATTTATTTATTTAAGGGATGCCGTTAAACATTTTAACGGTTTTTAAAAAAATGTAAAAATAAGAGGATGGATGTTGTTGATAACATTCATTATTATTATAAATTTAATTAATTATTTTTAAAAATATTTTCATTTTGGAAAAGTATCGGAAAATTCTTTTGATTAAAATTTGAACGCATTGCGTAATCCTAACACGTTTTTTTTTTTTTTATTACTTTTTTTTCAAGGCTTTTGGATAAAAAATTACGATCGAGTTTTTTTTACGTTTAATTATTTTCACACTCTTAATCGTGGCAGGTAACAATAAAAAAAAGGAAAATTCAGTCAAATAATAATAATAATGATGAAAATTATACATTCTCGAGAGAGAGAAACACGTAGAAGAATAATTTATTATCATCATCATCATAATCATCATAATCATTACAAAATCCGTTATTATGAAAATTATTACCAATTATTATTATTATTATTATTTTGTCTTTAAATTTACGTAAATTTTTGTCGCGTTCCCGACTAACCCCCCTATTTATTTTTTTTTTTACTTTCGTAAAAAAAATTTTAACGACCCTTTAATAATAATAATAATAAAATTTGATTTGTGTTACAGGATCTGCTCTCATGCAAGTTGTTGAAGTTTATAAAGAAATTCAAGCTCAACAAATGAACATCGTAAGTTTACCTTATCATTATTATTATCATCATTATTATTATTATTATTATAACATTTTCATTCGTTTTCTTTTCTTGTTTACAGCTTAAAGCTTTTTACGTTGATCTTCTCGTGCCATTAGAAACAAATTTAGAAAAAGATACAAAAGTCGTTCAAGTAAGTTTTCAAAATTTTTTCCTTTTTTCCTTTTAATTAATCGCTTATTAAATTGTAAAGAATTATTATTATTATTATTATTATTATTGTGATAATAATAATGATAATTGATAAATAACCGATAGATATTCTATTGGCACGACAAAACTAAACAGAAACACGTTTATAAGGGGTTTAAAAGATAATATCTTAGTGAGACGTGGTTTTAGATTAGGGTGTGGTAAAATCAAAAGTGTTGTTGGCCTCATTAAGTACCCAATAAAAACCGGTAAACCTTTGAGTTATTTAAATGATTTTAATACCTTATTATTATTATTATTTATGTATACGGTTGGTATAAGGACTTAGCGGAGTTAATTGGATTTAAGTACCCGCCTTTTTGTTCATTAACGTACCACTAAGAAAAGAATTTAATTAACCTCGGGTGGAAAACATTTTTTTTTCTTTACTACTGGGAAACACGTGTGAAAATATTATTATTATTATTAGTTTATGAAAGGAAGGAAAGGATTTAAAATAATAATAATAATAATAATAATAATAATAAATTTTTTAATAAAATTTGTAAGTTTTATTATGTGAGTCTGTCACCGGATGGTGAAAATGACGAAATAAAAAAAAAAAAAAAAAAGAAAAATGATTTTATTGATATGGAAAAAAAATATGAAGAAGAAGAAGAAAAGGTGTAAAATGAAAAGATGGTGAAGACGTTTAAATAGTTGAGAAAAAAAAAATAAGATGGATGAAATATTAAGGGGATGAAAGAGGAGGGTAAAAAAAAAAAAAAAGGAAAAAAAGTATATGAAAAGCTTTTAGAAAGGGCAAAACCGAAAGAAAAACTCTTAAACAATCGTGAAAAACAATTTTTCTTTTTTTTTTTTTTTTTTTTTTGCTTTACTCTTCTCCTTTTCCTTCCCCCTCCTACGCCCCCCCACCTCTTCCTCCTTCCCCTCCCCCACCCCGAAAAAAAAAGTCAGAAAAAGTTAAAAGTATTTTTTTTTAAACGATGTTACATTTGGAAAAAAAGGGGGAGGAGAAATAAAAGTTGAAGAAAGAAAAGATATCAGGGAGGGGGAGGGGAGGTTGCAGAGGGAAAAATTTTAATTTTTTAAAATTAATTTAATAATAATAATAATGATAATAAAAGAAAGGGTGTGAAAAAAGGGGATGAAAAAAAAAATTTACCAAAATCAATCGAAATTAATAAAAAAAAAAGAAAATCTTAAATCATGGGAATTGGGAGGGAGGGAGGGGGTGGAAACAAATCAAATTCAACTTTAAAAGAAATAAATTTTGAGTAAACGGAATGAAAAAATGAATGAATGAATGAATGAGTGAGGGAACGACAAACAGGAAATAAAAAGAAAATTCAGTTAAAAAGTAAAAGAATTACCTTCTTCTTACCTTTTCTATTCATCATCCCATTCATCCCGATTCGACTTCCCTTTCTTCCTCCTCTCCTCTTCCCTCTCTCCCCTCCCCTGCCCCATACCCCCCACGGAATTCTCCCTATAAAATGTTTATTTGTGAAATAACTTTGAAAATTCAATTTTGAGTCGACAATTTTCACGATTGAAAGAAACCATTTGGCGTGACATTTCATCCCCCATCACAAAAAAAAAAAAAAAAGAGAAAAAAAAAATGAGGGATGATGAAGATCGCACAGTTGTGCAAACGAAAACTAAATTTTTTTTTTTTTTTTCAATCGTGTCTTCTGCTTCTATGGAGCAAAACGTCGTCGTCCGAATCCCCCTCCCCTATCTCTCTCTCTCTTTTTTTTCTTTATCCCATCTTTAACAAATTTCTTTCTTATCACCCTTATCATA